GCGACACATCTCACACAATGTTGGAGCACTTCAAAATTAAAATTGTCAACGCACCAGATGGAATGCACTAGGTGTGAGGCAGGGTGTTAAAGAATGAGAAGTGTCCAACATTGGTGGTTTATGAGATAGGTGGACTCCTTATAAAGTTTAGGAAATTCATCTCCTTTTGAGCTAACTTTTGGGGTGTGAGTTAGGCCCAATGCCTAATTTAACATGGTATCAGAGTAAAGTTCCATCTCACCCAATGTTGGAGCCCTCCAAAATTAAAATTGTTCATGCACCAAATGCTAAACACTACTGTGATGTGGGGTGTTAAAGAGAGTTGAAGTGTTAAAGAAAGAAAAAGTCTCAAATTGGTGGTTAGTAAGATTAGTGGACTACATATAAGCCTTGACCGATCTCCCTCCCATTTGAGCTAGTTTTTGAGGTGTGAGGTAGACACAAGACCTAATTTAATAGTAGCAATCCTTACTATTCTAAAACTTTTTTTTTTATCATTATTATGCATATATATATTATTTTTTCTTCCTATATTGCTATTGAGCGATTGTTGAGGTAGCAACATCATTGATTTATAGTGGTGATGATTAAAATGTTTCCCTCTTTATATGAAGTAGTAGTAGAAAGATATTTTATTAATGAGCACACTGTAAAATTAGTTAGTTACCCATTGTAGGTTTTCTTTGATATTTGGTTATTTGATACTCATCTTTAATTGTTGTATCCAACTGTATAGTTTGATTTCTAAATTCTATTCTTAAAGTTGAAAAAAGAAGGTACTTTCATTATAATGGTTTTCATTTAGCATGTATAATTTTTTGGCCAAGAATATGCTATTATTAACTTTTTAGGTAAAATTATTTGTGCATAGATGGCTAATAAATTTCTTGAAAGTTTTTTTTTTCCTTTTAACTTCTAGATTTACGTTATCTGAAACTAGATTTTGGCTTGATCATCAGCATGAGTTTCTGTTTGGGACTGTTGCTTTTTTAAATTGAGGGTCTATCAAAATAAATTTTCTATCTCTAGATAAGATATACGTACACTATATTCTTTCTACACTCTACATTGTGGGATTTAATGGTATGTTATTATTGATATTGCCTAGAAATTGTGCACAAAATATAGAATGAGATCTCTAAAACCACTGCTTGAACATGAGCGACCAACTCTGTCCTCCAATGAATATCACATATTATACATTAGCTATGTTTCCATTTATTAGCATGCTTTGCTAAGAATTCGAGTGTCTGCCACATATCCTTTGATTGATATTTTGATTAATCGTGGCAATCAAACTTTGAGCTATCAATTGCTTTATATCTAGAGAAACTTCACATAAATCAAGACCAAACTCTTCTTGAACATTCTAAAATGCTGTAGAATTTCCTTTATACCTTGATGTTAATTGATATTGACACAATAAATTATAGAACTAATAAATTCATGAGTAATTTCATATAGTGTTCAATTTCAACATATGTAAGTGCATATGACATATCGATGATTCTAAAAGTAATAGAAGAAGAAAAGCTACAATCGTCAGCCAGAAGAAATAACTTTAAAGTTTGAAGTTTTATCATCTGTAACTCTAAGTTGAGATGATTAGAAGAGAGTTGGTTTGTGAGATATTAGCCACAGTACATTTTTTTTGTCTAGATGAAATGGAACTTTGCTTGAGAGGTGTGAATGAAACAATAATATTGTGAGTTGTCAGTAAAAAATTTGTAAGCATTTGAGCTCTATGGGAAGTTCTTAATATAGTTATTCTATTTCTTTAAAACTATGTACACTTTCTCGTGCTTAACATGATTTATTTGAATAATTTCCACACTTATATTGATATTCTTAATATATATTTGTCTTTCTGATGTTGGTGTACAAATGTAACGTTCTCATATGTGTCATGCTATAATTGTCATATTATAAAGTTACTTAATATGTTATATAAGTAAATAAATTGACCATCACTTGCAACAAATAAGTGTCCATATTTTTTTTTGAAGATTATTATCAACGAAGTGAAATATATCATTCAGTCACATATATAAATGATGTTTAATGAATGTAAAAAAATTCATTATTTATTTGGGATACAACATTCATAAATAGAATTTTCACCCTTAGACGCATTTGCATATTATGAGTAGTAATTTGTGTGCAAACTTCTATACCTTTAGCTTGATGCCACTTTATTCTTTCTAGAGTTTTATAATGACTCAGAGATAATCATAATTAATCAAATCACATAGTTCAACAACTAAAATTAAATAAAAATAACTACTCTAATTTAGAAGGTCATCTCTAATCTAACAATTTTATATTTATATTATTATTTATTATATAGAAAAGAGAGTTGAGCTTCCTTGTTAACTAGAATTTGGGTATTTTTATTTTTATTTTTATTTTTGTGCTGCATAAATATGCTTATTGTACAATTATTATTTGACATTTTGTCTGGATGGTTGTTACGTATTGTTTTATAATGTATTGTATTATATTGTACTATCTCGTTTTGAATGAATACAATGTGTGGATAGATTGTATCATTATTCTTCGGTTTATAATGTCACACATCTACAATTTGAATGATAAACCTACAATAAAAGTAGGGTAAAAGATAAAACTACGATGAAGAAATAGTGTAAAAAATAAAATATAATTATTAAATAATAATTAAAATAAAATAACAAAACATAATTAAGATAATGGTTTGATTACGTCAAATCAATAGTTAAATAAAAGGAAAAAAAAATATACCCATGAACTTACGTAAATGATATTTAAGTTTTGGCTAAAATCATCCCTGAAGTATGATTTAAACTTAGACCTCATTTGTTCACATTTAATGGAGGTATGAATCTTAACCATTTAAGATTCGCCCCATTAAGTGTGTTTGTTTTTGAGGAATGAATCTTAAATATTCAGAATCAGTTCATTAAGTTTGTATATTTTATTTCCTTATAAGCTTCTTAGACCTCATTTTTTTCTCATTAAGATTAAGACGTCTGAATCTGAATACGCATCTGAATATTAAGATGTGTATTAAGATCTAAATGTGTAAATTTGAAATGTGAACACTAAGTTATTGGGACTATTTCTTTTCAATATCTGAATGTGCATATGAAAATTAAAGTTATATTAAGAAAATATTATAAAAATCTCATTTTAGTAAAATATATTTTTTTTATATAGAAAATAATATTTTGAACATTTTTATCTTAACAAGGCAATATGATTTTTCTTTTAAAAATTTAACCTTAAGTTACCTCATTAATACGACTATTCTTTGCACTAAAAAACTTTTATAATCTAATATATTGCAATGTAATATAGTCTATATAAAGTAGTAATATATTGTGTATGAAAACACTTTTAGAATCTAACATAATGTAATATAAAATGTATATTATAAACGGAAAAGGGCCTAAAATACCCTTAAAGTATTGAAAATGGTACAAAATTACCCTCCATCCACCTATTGGCTCCAAAATACCCTTTCCACCCACCTATTGGGTCCAAAATACCCTTGTCATCCAGCTTTTGGTTCAAAATTGACCACTTATTTAACAGTTTTATATTTAAACTATTTAAATATTTTTTAAAATACGTGGTGCTCAACTATTTGTTATAATTTAACTTATTAGTATACTTTATGTATCAATCCATTACCCACCCATTACTAATCAAATTCCTCTTAATAAACCATCACATTATTAATGCAAGCTACTGCCAATTGATTATTTTTAAAAACTATAGAAGTAAATTATCATATATTCAAGTGGCTAATAAAAATCACCGATAAACTTAAAAGTCTGATTATCTTCATCTTAATTATTCTTACGTCTCAATTATGTGATGTTACTTCATACGTAACTTTTTTTCAAATATATTAAAGGTTTTAAAACAAATCATAAATATTTAAAAATTAGATTTAAAAAAAAGTGCATGAATTAATTCGGGATGTATTACTTGTTTACCTTTAATCATAAATTTCTAATTCAGTTTTGAAAGAAAGTGTCCTCCTAAATAAGCGGCTCAACCTAAATTTAATTGGGGTTTCGATTCGGACTCGAATAATTTTGTATGTCATTTTAAGGATTCTATAATTTCGTCGTGTTTTAGTAGTGTTTATGACGATTTTGATATTATAATTGAATCATTAATTGAGTACGGTTTAGTTAGTAATGAGTGGGTAGTGGATTGATTTATAAATTATATTAATAAATTAAAATTATAATCAATAGTTGAACGCCAAGTATTTTAAAAAATATTTAAAGAGTTAAATTTTCAAACAATTAAAAAAGTGGTCAATTTTGAACCCAAAGGTGGATGACAAGGGTATTTTGGAGCCAATAGGTGGATGAAAAGGGCATTTTTGGAGCCAATAGGTGGATGGAGGGTAATTTTGTACCATTTTCAATACTTTAAGGATATTTTAGGCCCTTTTCCGTATTATAAAATAAAATGTTTTCATAAACGTAATATTACTACTCTTGATAAATTATTTTGCATTTCAATATATTAGTTTCTAGCAGTTTTTGAGTGGAAATAATATTCATATTAATGAAGTAACTTAATCTTAAATTCTTAAAAAGCATATTATCTTGTTACGAAAAAAATGTTCAAAATATTATTTTCTATATAAAAAAGTTATTTTACTAAAATGACGTTTTTATAATATTTTATTAATATAACGTTTAATTTCATATCCACATTCAGATATTGAAAACAAACTGTCTCAATTAGTTTATTGTTCAAATGTAGAGACAATATCTTAATATTCAAATATTTATTCGGATTTACACGTCTAGATCTTAAATGCACATCTTAATATTCAAATATATATTCAAATTCAAACATTTAATTTTAATGAAAACAAATAAAACTTTAAAATAGAAGTAAATGAAAAACATTATTACACTATCCAAAAAATTTACAAAATTCATCCTTCTATCTAATTTTTTTAAAATAAACTTAAGCCACCAAAGAAAATTTAGCACTTAAATCATATTAGTACAATGTTATTTGCTCTGGCAAAATAAAAAACTGTTGCTCTAACTTTGGGTTTTGCCACAAAGAGATGACGATGCTGATATGAATTCCTCTTCTCCTGCAAATTCTCCTTCGTTGTGTTCAAATTTATCTTTGTGACTCTGAGGTACTTTCTTTTCTCCATGCCCTACATATTTCTTTTCAACATATTTAAATTTTCTTGAAAAAGAAGTTATTTGATTTTTACTTAAGATCTGTGTGCTTACAATTCTATATCTGAATGAGAGTGAAGCTTTTCTGCAAATTTATTTATTAATGTGAATGTGTTCTTCTCGGCCAACATCATTTTTTTGCCACAAGTGGTTCTGGGGTTTTAGCAGTGGGTTTCCACATTTTAGTCAACTGGGGTTTATCCCAAACAGAGAATTTCTCCAAGGATTGTAAATTCTTGATTTTTGTTACAAGGATGGGCTCCTGTGATAGGTCCCCATATCCTGGTGTTTTCATACATTTAGTAGGAGAGATTAAGTTCCATTCCCTTGTTTAGGAGGACATCATTTTTTTTTGTATCATTTGGGAAGTCTGGAGGTTCGGGTGTATGTGGTAGCTTTCGGGAGGGGATTATGTTATTCATGTTGTGGATCATGGGAATCATCTACAGTAGACTGTTCAGAAAACCTATGGAGAGAGTTTTTTTTTTGTGAACAAAGCTGACATTATTTTATATCAACTTTTTGCCTCAAGGTCGTGTATTAGAGATGAGAAAGAAATTTATTGAGATGTGCAACTGACATATTCTTTGTCAAAACAACAAATAGGTTCCATAAAATTTATGGAAGAATGTGTAGAATCAATTGATGTATCTTATTTGTTTGTAAATGAGAGACAAAACTTTCAATGTAGATATTGAAGTTAATCTAACATTGGTCAAATGGTGTTTTTTCATTCTTGTTTATATGATCTGAAACAACTAAACTGCACTATGAGCACAAGTGCTTTTATACTAGTAATAGAAATAAGGGAAATTCCTTGTTGTGGAGGTCTCAAGTTCCAAACCCTTTGCCAGCAAAAGCAAGGGTTTGCCTTCTTGGTCGAGCTCGTCGCACCGGGCTTGCTTAGTGCGGGTTACTTCTCCTATGTGGTTTGTGAGCTATTGCATAGGAACGGGATTTTTAGCGGGTTTCCCTTGTCATAAAATAAAATAAAATAAAATAAAGGTAACTCCTTATATGAGTTGATAACCGTGCGAGTTCAGCAGTCCTCAATGATAGTGACAGATCCGACCCGGTTTGATATCCGTTGCTTATACGTGGATGATTAAATCCGAACCGACTTGATATTCATATGCCTGTGTCCGTCCACTTCTGTGTCTGTCCACTTCTGAAGTTTAATTATTCTAAAATAGGGTTTAACCAAGGGGTTTTAAGCTAGCTGTAATAGCAGTTGAGTGAACCGTTTAAATTCTAGGGTTTAGTCGAGGGATTTATGTGGCCCTTCTTTTCCATGTGTATGCATAAGTTTCTCGAGATTATATTGATTTTAAGCTAATATATGTGTGAAGGAACATCAATCGTGGACGCTGTAAGTAATCAGGTTTAACATTTCTATTTACTAATGTTGATTTTTTCTGATTTTGGATCGTCTTTGTAGTGGAAAGACAAGTACAGTAAATTGAAAGATGGCTACACAAAGCTTGAAGATAGAAGAAATGCTCTTCGTAGAGGTCTCTCCATTTACGAGGAACAAGTCTCCAAAATGCAGGCAGAAAATTTGTCTCTCAGGAAAAGTATAGTTACTTTCACTTTAGATTTACATCCCCTTTGATTTCTGAATACGAGATTTGAGTAATAACTTAAAAGAGAAGGACTGAGTAATTTGTAAATTATTAAATAAAAAGAAGTAAAACACTGGAATTTAATGTATAGGAGTTTGACCATTCCAGGCTGCCTTGTTTCTTGTCAAAGACATACGTTGATTTGACACGTATTTTGTTTGATTTCTTCGAACTGACACATTGATTTGCTGCTATATTTTGTATGATATTTTCCAGATCTTGAGGATGAGAAAGTTAGGACAAACAATGAGGTGGAGGAAAAAATAAAGGAATCTGCTTTAAGGGTTTCTTTAGAGAGTGAAGTTGCTGGGTTGAAGAATGAGATACTTCCCTTGAAGAAAAAATTGGTGGCTGATGATGGTGGTAGAGAAATTAGAGAGCTTAAGGAGCATCTCTCCGAGAGGGAAACAAAGATAAATGAACTAAAGGAGCTTGTTAAGAAAGAACGAGTGAGAGCAGAGTCGGAGAAAAAGAAGGCTGAGTTGGAGAGGAAAAAGGCAGACGACTTGAGGACGAAATTGAAGATTTTAAAAACAAGGGCTAATGAAGAGAGGAGACTTGCTGATACTGAAAGGAAAAGAGCAGAAGTAAATAGGCTTAGTTTGGAAAATCTGAAAAAGGAAGCTGATCAAGTGAAATCGAAGTTATCTTTGGTTATTTTTGAGTTTGAAGATGCTAAGAAGAAGCTGGAGGCGGAAAGAGAAAACACATCTAAAGAGAGAAAACGTGCAGATGCAGCAGGGATGAAAACTGTAGAGCAAAAAAAGATTGCAGAAGCCAACCGCAAAATGGCCATGAATGAAAAAAGTCGTGCTACTGCTCTATTTTGGCAGTTGGAACAGGATAGACAAAAGGTTGACAATTTGAAGAAGGAGATTGGTGAACTCATGGCATCTGGTAAAATGGCTAACATCGTATCTAGTGAAGGGACAACTGTAGGAACTGCTCAATTATCATCTGAGCTTGGTCCAGTGGCAGTGGATAGAGATGTTACCATGGTAGATGTTGCTTTGAATTCTGATGCAGCCCAAAGAAAGCTCCAGAAAATGGAACTTAGGGTTGTGGATGAGAAAAAGTGTGTTAAATCAGAGATGAAAAAAGTGGAAAAGCAAAGAAAGGCTGCAGAAGCATATAAAAAGAAGGCATCTGAAGAAAAAGATCGTGCTGATCAGCTGTCTGAAGCGGTTGAAAATTACAGAAAACAGGTTGAAGAACTGCAGAAGGAAATTAAAAAGCTAATTTCTACAAGGTCATTAGCTGATTGTCCTCTTCACATGTCTGATAGTAATGTGCATGTTGAAACTGGTAAAGTTAAGCTGTTGAAGAAGCAATTGAAGTTTGAAAAGAAGCTGGTGAAGCATGTCAAAAAAGTAGCTAAGTTAGAAAAAGCTCATAGTAATGATACTATACAACAGCAAAGCCTACTTAGCATAAAGCAGGAGGTTGTTCACTTCTTAAGACGTCTAAATATGTTGGATGGTTGCTTATTTCAAGACGATGAGCATGACCTGGAAAAGGTTTGTTTCTCTCGTGCTTGGTATAGTTAAAGCTCTTATATAGTAAGGAAGGCGTTTTTTAAGAAGTTTTTCTCAAGAAACCTTGGGGAAGTATGCATTATATTTGGTAATTTCAACCAGAACTGGAGTTGGTAGAAACAGAAATTGTGACTGTTTGAACAATTAGCTTAACATTCTTCAAGAATTTGTGGAACTTCATTAAAATTGCTTATTTGACGCACTCTTGCAGAATGTTCAGCAAAATATTGTAAATAGTATATGATATGTTCAGAAGAGCTCACTCCTCTATACCTGCTCCATTTTCACATAGACACCAATTTAGTTTACTTTGGGTTGTCTTTATTCCTTCAATTCTTTTAATCAAATTGACACGAACTATGTTTCTATGGTTTCTTGATGATTTGATCTTCCTGAAGTGCAGGTTTGCAGCTTTAACTTGAAAAATAATTATTCTGGTTTGAAAGCTCGTGATATGCACCGCCATCTTGGGAATGACTCGATGAAGTTAGCTGCTGTAGTGTCTGATCCATCCAAGCAAAAGATAAAACGTAGTGTACCTTCGCTTCCTATATGTGGAGGGAACAACCCTGAATCAATGTCAGGTATTAACTCTAAATTGGAGCCTTTGCTTAGAGGTTCCAACAAAAAAGTGTAGTTCTGCCATGAATTCAAGTTCAGCATCTTTTTCTAACAGGCTATTGGTGGGCTCACAGGAAAGATGTGCTTCTATCTCATCATCAGCTAAATCAGCTGAAGGAAAATTGGACATAGAACCGACCATCTCAAGTTTATCTGGAGATGCAAGAAAAAAGTGCAACGAGAATGTTGTAGCAATTGCTGAAAGTAATGTCAAGAGTCCTGTCAGTTGTATTTATAATGAGAGGACGGCGTCACATCATAAGAGGATGAGCAGATCTATTGATGCCATTGAATATAATGGAAACTTGAATTCCAAGGGTAACAAGTGGCAAAGACAGCTGTCACAAAAGATCTCTTTACATGATGGTATGTTAAATAGTAGAACAGATAGACTTCATGATGAGAAAAAGCATTTGGTAGCTGACATTCGACATGACTTGTTCAGCGAACATTTTAGATCCACCAAGAAGAGAAAAACATTGTGTGAACTAGGTCTGCAGCTTTTAAACAATAATAGTGCGGCAAAGACAAAGTTCGACAGTTCTGGTGTCAAATCTGATGTCTGTGCCCATCAATCTCCAAATGTCTATAGCCTTCCAGAAACTGCCCAGGATTGCAAGGATGGGGAACACGATGATCTGGTAGATATTGATGAACTTGTCGGTGGGGAATATATAAAGCTTCTCAATTTGGATAATGATACAGATGAAGAGTCTTATCGTCTAGCAATTGAAATGCCTTTATCCCCTACACTTCCTGAGATTCAGTGCCATAGCAGTGTGGCACTTGTCCCGATTAACACACCTTTATATGAGGGATTCTTAAATGCAGAGACTGTGGCTTCATCAGGCAATTTTGATGTCATCAATGTTGAAATCAATTCTAATAAAGTAAAACACCCCACCATAGATCCTCCAAAAAAATCATCATTACCTGAGAAAAAAGATCATGTTGATTCATCTAAGAGATTAAACCTTGACACAGCTTGCAAGTTATCCTGCAGTTCCGATCTAGTTACATTGGAAGCATTGTGCAGGTCAGACCTAGCTGCTCCTGCTACTGAGGGGCTGCAGATTTCATCGGAAAGGAGAGCCGTCTCATTACAGGATGGGTTTGCCAAGTATTGTGTCATCTTTTCAAACAACAATGATGCGAAAACCATTTCAAGTGTTTACCATGCTACCAGTCGTTGTCTTGCTCAATGCTCAGTATCATCAGATACTTCTCTTAGGAGTATTCTGGTCACTCTTTTGAATCTTCAAGAAATTTCAAATGAGTAAGCTAAGCTAATCTATTTTGAGTTGGGTTTCGTGCTTACTTTGCACTGGACATACGTATATTTGTCATACATTTTAAAATTCTTTACTTGTTAGTCTAAAAAGGTTTACTTCACTTTGCTTTTCAAATTTAAAATTTACTATGTAATTACATTTGTGCAACCAATGACTCAGGGAGTTGCTCTGTAATTACGTGATACATATTTATTTTTTTGAAACTACTAGTTTGTGTTTTTACTACCCAGTAATTAGTAATTACCCAACCTAGTAATTGCACATTGATTTGTAAACACACCCTAAGAGTTAGATGGTAGGATTTAGCCGAAGGCTAGCCTAAGATCAAATGGCCATGAATTAAATATTCAAATGTATGTCACTTAATAGACTGATCTTTTAGATGTCTTACACCATAAGTTTTATGCTCGTATTCATGTTTCTTCATGGTGGTAGGATATCTGAGAATCATGTGCTTATTTCCCAAAAGAAGTACCTTTCAAGTATCTATGTTGTTTTGTTCTTGTAATATGAGACAATGATGTTCCTCTGCTCAATTTTACTTCCAACTGGTACAAAAGAATTAGAAGACTTAGTTAGCTCACATCTAGAGGTACTTGGCATCAATTGAATAATGGATGGACAGTACTAACTTTTTCTAGTCAACTTTTAAGGGGGTATTACTTGTTGATTACGTCCAAGCTTTTAATCTGTATTCTTGCATCACAACCTTTTGACATCCCGAGCTCATAAACTTGTGCCTGTTTGTAACAACTGAAAAACACTTTTTCTTTTGGCACATGTTGATTTTGTTCAGAAAGGATGATTTGCAACATGGAAATGGAATCACTTGTTATTAGGTTGTGATGATAATGTATGGAAGGTTTATATAATTTTATTGATAACTTATGCTGGATTGTTTTTTCTAATCTATTTTCTAGATGCCTTACAGCGATCTGGAGGGTTTACATATTTTAAGTTATTTGCAAAAGTTTAAGATGCTTTCAGCCAAATTGTCATTCATAGGCTGTAGGATGTTCTGAGTTTATGTGCACTAATCTCATCCTTGTCCATGTTAAGTGTTTTGCCTATGCTTCATTAGCTAGCAAATGTTTTCAAATTTGATATGTTGATAATCAAACATAACTAACATTGTATCCATTCCCACTTTTTTCAGGGAGAAGACATGTGTCTTCTTTTCACTCTTACTTCTCTACATTTCTGAAACTGCAACAAGAGCCTTTCGAGATGATTGGGAGAGAGACCTGATCCTTTTCATAAATTCTGTTGCTCAGCATATATATACAGGTTCTTGCCTTTTGTGTATTTAGATTAAGATGTTTCATGGAATTTTTCACAATGTATATGCCAAGCGACTCCTAATCTTCCGTATTTGCAGAACTCTCACATGAAGACATGAGAAGGATATTTGTGGAATCTTGCAACTTGTATGATGTACTTTCTCTTATGGAGGATTTTCTTTTGCATGGTAAATTGCTGGTGCATGCTGTAAGTTCTGATTCACAGCTTGCGTCCAATTCAGGAATCCATCTTATCTTGGATGGTCGTAGTATAAGCTTGTGCAAGAAACTAGCTTCTACTCAGTTGTTGCTAACTGGAGGAATTTTGCTAGCATCAGTATGTGCCGTGTTTGACCATATTGGTTTTGTTTGTGAGGCTTCCTGCAACATTTTAAGGACGCTAAGATCTGATGCTCTAAATATTCTTCATATATTTGCCTATCTATGTGGTAATAAATATATTACCCTCAAAGAGTATGGCTTAGCCATGACTGTGGTGAAGTCATTGGTGATGCTTATTCACAATAATAGATCATCTCCTAATCCTCTTTCTTGTGTTGCAACTACAGTTGAGTCTTTGTCTAAGATTTGTTCAGGTAGTAAGTGCCCGTTTTCAGAGAGTGCAGCTACCATGGATGTTGTTGCATCCTCACTCTTGGATAGTCTTAAGAGTTATTGTTGCTCTGCTGTGGGGTTGGATTTGATGGAATCATTGAACTCATCAAGATATGGAATCAAATGTTATGGAAAGAGAACTGATGAATCCACAGATAATGTAGATTTAGTACAGTGGGCATATGTTACTTTGAGGGATTCAAGCCAGTTCATTGATACCCTTGCACTGATGGAGCTAGTTGCAGGTTTCATGGTATGTTTCTTATTTTATTAATATACTCTGTAATCTTGTGAAATTCTATCTTCTTTATCCGTTCTCTTTTATTTCTCTTGATCCAGGTCTAAAGAAAGTATGAACATTTGAGTGCTATTAGGATATTTTTCTTGAATGAATGACATTGCTATATCAGGAGACTGTCATTTCTTTTATAAATGTAAAAAGTTCCAACTGAATATATTATGAATAATTAGTGACTTGATCCTCCCAAAAAACTCTTATCACAAGGCATTGATATGGACTATTGAATACTACTGGCTTCTTTTGACTTGCTTATCTTAATAAAATTATGTTACCTTATCTAAAGGAAAAACATAGTTTCAGGTATTGCTGGTTCCTTTTGCTAATTTTAATAGTGTGTTCTTTTTGTGCATTCTTATAGAATGTTCCAACATTTGCACGTTGTCTTCCATCATTTTCTAGTTTCCATATTTAGGAACTCCACTTGCAAGGGGAGAGGTAAAATCTGTTTATTGTTGCTCATTCAGCAGTGGATGCTGATTTTTTAAAAGTAATTACTGCACCATTTCCTATTGTTTTTTTTTTAACTCGCTAACTTTGTATTATATCACAACAATACATGGGTTATACTGAAACCTTGTATATAGATGAACTCCGAACCAGTGTTTTGGGAAGCGAGAAGCGGAAAAAAGCGACGAGGGCTTGCTTCACCGAAGCGAGAAGCGTGAAGCGAAGCGCGCGCTTTTTTTTAAAAAAAGCGACATTTAGTATAAAAATAAAAAAATATTAAATAACTAAAAAGAGGTAATATAGTCTTAGATTGAAAGAAATTACTTGGGTAACATATAAAGCAAAAAATCAAAAACATAATTAAATCACAAAATATTACAAACAAAAGGAAGTTTCAGAAAATAATAAAAAAAGGCTGCTAGCATACTCACTGATCACAAAATAAAAAATAAAAAACAAAAGAATTGAAAAAAAAACCAGAGGCAGCAATAAGTAAGAACTAAGAAGAAAAGAGCAGGCAGCAGAGAATAGAGATGAAGAAAAGAAGAGAAGAAGAAGAAAAAAGAGATGAACAAATTACCTACAGGCCTCAGTCGAGATCTTGAGGAGAGAAAGAAGGGAGGCAGCCAGCAGCCTCAGTCGAGATCTTATTCACGAGAAAAAGAAGGGCGGCAGCAGCAGCCTCAGTCGAGAGCTTCAGGAGAGAGAAGGGAAAGAAAGTCGCGAGGAGAGAAGGGAAAAAGAGTCGCGAGGAGAGAAGGGAAAGAAGAGTTGTGAGGAGAGAGAAGTTATATTTCAGATTTTTTTTTAAAAAACCTAATTTTTTTTAAAAAAAACCCTAATTGTCGCTTTTTTTTATAAAAAGCGCGCTTTTTTGCGCCTTTTCCTCAGCGTCGCTTCTCGCTTCTTCCTCTGAAGCGAGTGCTTTTTTCAAATCGCCTCGCCTCAAGTTAAAAAAGCACACAAGGGTCGCCTCGCTTTGAAGCGCGCTTTTCTGCGCTTTTAACAACACTGCTCCGAACTTCAATGTTCTATGTCTATATCAAGTCTAGAACATCAATTATAGAGACAATTTCATTTGAGTATAAATAGTTACACCAAAAACATAACAACAAAATGCAGTGAAGTTTAACTTTCTGCACATTATCTCCATGCTTTCAAAACACCTAGAATTCCTCTTTTTCCAGATTGCCCACTATATTGAAGCAGGGATAGTTCTCCATCTACCTCTGTCTTTAGCATGTACCTACCTCATTAGAGCTTCAGTGGCTCTCCTAGGTATCGTCCATGAAATGCCTTTGAGGCTAATGAACACCCTCCATAACTGTTGAGTATATTTGTAGTCTGGAAATAGATGGTTTGCAGTTTTTGAGGTTTCCCCACATGGGAAACATCTAGAACATAATCCCCATTTTAATTGCATTATCCTGAGTCAGAGTTGCTTCCTTAGCTATTAGCCATATGACATGATACTTTATAAGGAATTCTGCGCTTCCAAATTTGTTTCCATGGCAAGTCGGGTTCTGTTGACTTGGTTGCTCCATCAACCTGTAAGTTGCCCCTACTTTAAATATGCCTCTACTGTCAGCTTTCCACCATAACACATCCTCATGTTTCTGGAGTCTATTAAAATTTCCAACGATGTTGATAAATTCTGCCACCCTCATCACTTCCAAGTCATTATATTGTCCTCTGAAATTGAAGTTCTATCCCTGTTGTCTACATCTCTGTTATGGTCCTTTGTTGATAAAGGGCTAGATTGTAAATGTCAGGGAATAGAAGTTCCAGATTACCCATGTCATACCATTCTTCCTTCCAGAATTTGGTCTTATTCCCATTGCCCACTTTCACCTTAGAGTTGGATGGAAAAGGAGACTCTTTCTTAAAAGTACATTTTTTGGCATGGGAATTTGAATCCACTCCAATTCATATATCTCAATGAGATGCTAATATTACAAACACGTTAACTTAATATGGTGCTTTTGCATCCTGGACTTTGGACTTTGTATTTGCAGAAGGATGAAAAATCAGAACGAAAATACAAATGGATTTCATTTAAAAGTTAAAATATGTTAAGGTGAATCTTATTAGGAATTACCCCATTTAATTGGATAGGAGTTATATTTCGTCCCCTTTTAATGTTTTCAGTTCATTCTCACACAATTTATCTCTATACTTAGTTGGTCGAGGTTTATTTTGGGCTTGAAAGGTGTCCTTCTCTTTCAGTATCTTGTCCTTCTTTATTTGTTACTATCTGTCGTCTCGTGTACTTCAGTATCATCACTTTTTGTTGTAGAAACTGTTCCTTTCTTCAGAATGCTTTGTCATGATTTCTTCACTTTCTATAGCTTCTTTTTCGATGCGAAATTTTTCAATTGATTCGTCAAGTGGACATTTATGGGGAGCAATTGAAGTTGTAATGACTACTACTTTACCCAACTTCTCAACTCTTTTAACTCCTAAATTACTGTATTTGAGTCTTCTGTATGCTCACTCCATCTTTTGTTGGATCTTTTTTTCAATGGAGGATATTCTTGGAGAATCTTTTTCCTTTTAAAATAATATGTGGCATAATTCTCTTGCTCGGTTCCTAATGGCCATAGGGTTTGTGGGGGGGGGGGGGTTATAGGTTCTGGGTAGGTAATTACTTTCTTTCTTTTCAGTTCATTTCTCAGAAGTTTCTGCCTAATTTTGTTGTTTTTTATCTCTCAAGCAGAGCTGGGATTGGACGTTTGACAAAATTGCCTGTCCACTATTGAAGTTATTGGAATATTGTTCAACAGAGCACAATGCTGCTGCTATTGCTACTCTTCTTGGTCAACTTGGAAGGTAACTGTCCAAACATGGTAGATTATTTTCAGCATTTATCCTTTACATATTGCAAGTTTTAAGTGGGGAAATATGAGAGCGATCTCTATTGGCATTTTGAGTGTTGTTGATGGCTTAAGCTTCATACTTGTCTTTTTACCATTTCCTGATCATGTATGATGTATTCTTTTTCTTTCGATTGAAGCACATTTGTTATGAACCAAATCATTGCATTTCTTATGAGATGATATCCTAATCCTAATCATATTTCTCCTTATCCTGAAGTTTTTCCATAGTTCAACAAAGTGGCATTGCTGATATTGGATGCGTTTAAAGTTTTTTGTTTGGTGGTCTATTCTCTAGCACTCGTGCAAGTAAGAAATTTAATGGACAATATTGGCCTGATCTCTTTTGGATTTACACTAACCTCAGTATTTTATTGATTTGGTAGACAGAATTAGCACAAACCTATCTGTCTATAGGTGTTTCCAATCAACAGGAAATGATAAAGTTAAAAAAGATGTTATTCATAGATAGTTTACTTATATTATATTGTTACATATCAAGAAAATTAAGTTTTTATTGCCTTAATAGCCAGCGACAGGAGTTGGAACTCTGAGGTGGTTCTTGGAGAAGTCTTATAGGCCCTACAGAGATGAATGAACAAACTCATTCTGCATTTGCCAGCAATAGAAAAGATGAAATTTCACATTGTAGTTGGGTGGCTGAATTTTCTTTTGGAATGAGATTGACGAGGAAAAGAGTTGGAATACTACAAGTTACTTTTCTGTTTGGGGCATTTGATTATTTTAGAACTAGGTACCGTGCTTTAAGTTGTGTGAATAAGTAGAGATGCTGGTCACAATCATCATTTGGATGAACAAATTGACCTTTGGATGGAAGGCTAGTTATTATAACCTCAATGCTTCTCTATCTTAATTATATTTATTTTTGATAGGCATCTCTTAATTATGTTTGTTGTTTATGTTTAGATCGGCGTTTCTACATGGATATTTTTTGGTTTTATTCAGTTCATGATAAATCGACATTTTATATATGATATCTCTTACAGGAGTGGACTTGAAGCTTTTGGATATGAAGATGTTAGGATTCAGAGATTAAGAAGCTCTTTCTGTGCATTACTTTCACAATGCGACTCCAAAAGAATGGATCTCCACCTCCAGTTCTCCATTGGAATTGCTTTAGTTGGCCTAATTCCTCTTAGGTTCGAGGAACTTGTCGGAAGTAACATTGAAGTTGCACCAGCTGCAAATCCAACTGATTGCCTAAGAAAGTGGTTCTCTTTATTGAGCAGCGAGCAGCGGTTATTGTTCAAGGCTCGTATATTCTGCTAGTTGCCACAGGGAGAATGTGAATAGAAAATTTTGCGGGAGAGCAACAGTTGAAAAATTGCCTGGTTTGTTGATGTACATAATTTGCAGTAGTTAAGGAGTTGTACAGAAAAAGGCAGTTTATTTTTTTTTCTTTCTATTTTTTGGTGGACCTTTGCCATTTAAGCTTTTGGATATTACTTGGGAAATGCTTTTGTTCCAATTGTTTTAAACATAATTGCATCACAATCTCATAATTTTGTCATTTAATAATAGTTTCGTATGTTGTTGGAGGTCAAAAAAAATTGAGGAAGAAGTATGTGTTGAGGTTTGGACAAAGTCCTCCATCCTACCTCATGCAAGTTCATTTTATTGCTAATAATTATTGCATTTTTTATAATTTAGTTTTTATAAATCATAATGAATAATATTGAAAATATTAAGTGCACAGAGATTTAACGTTGATTAATATTAATCTCGCTGTTGCTCACTTAAATCATATTTACACTTGGCCAGAAAATTACATATATATTGACGCGAGTATTAATTCATTGTGAAAATTCCTTGAGTTTGTGTATCCTAATTCTTTCAACTAGCCTGACATCTTTTAATAAGAATCCTTATTCTGCTAATTTGTTTTGTACTTTACACATATTTTTATGACAATTCAAATTCGTAAAATATTTTTGCCACAATAGTCAAACTAGAAAAGCTTATTTCTCATTTTTACTACTGTTACTAACATTAGTGACAATAATTACCTAAATAACTATAACCTTATTATTAGGGATAAGAGTTTGAAAAATATCCTAATTTAGTCGAATTTGCGGTTGCGAAGCTGAACTTTCATGAGGATAAATTACCTCCCTAGACTATTTACTACCATATTTTAAATATATATATTTGTTCACGTGGAAAATAATGCGTTCATCTATACATGCGGGTACATCTATACCTTTAAAATACACTTAAATAGTTTAGTGGATAAAAAAAATACACTATTAAATAATTCAGGGAGGTAACAGGTCCTAATGAAAGTTTAGTATCACAACAACAAATTCGACCAGAGATGGAATATTTTTCAGACTTTTATCCCTTATTTATTACAATAAAATCTTGTAGCTAGTCATAGATTTTTCCACGCGATAAATGTTATTGTGGTAATAGTTAAATGGTATAGCCATATCTTTTTCGTCATAGTAAATTTTGTGGCTAATTATTATTTTTTGTCATGAATAGTAACTCTTTAGCTACAATAAAATAATTAAAATAATATGTTTGTACTAATACTTTATCCGAAAAAACCCTTAAAAATCTAACAAAACCCTGAGATTTATTAGTTAATATTTGAAATATATATATTTAGAAATCCGAGACAAATAATTTGATTTGAATTTTAAAAAATCTGAACTAATCCAATCTTAGGTACACCCTTAGGTTTGGAAAATACTTCCGAAAATTTATATAAAGTGGTTGTAATTGAGATGTTTGTACTATTCTTTTAAGTCCTAAAGAAAAACTCTGTGCCTGTACCCTTTTGAGGGATGTAGATTTGATATTCTTTTTAAATTATATATATATTTTTTATTTTCTTGTGATTATGTTCTAATTAACTCATAATCTTCTTAGAAATTTCAGCACCATCTTCTGACACATATTTTTTTTAAAAAGAATTATGTTGTTATAATGAAAAGAAAGCATGCTTTTGAAAAAAGGTTAGACAAGGTAGCAATAAAATAATAATACTTTTGAGCCATTTTTCAATTGGATGGAATATTATATGTTGTCAGTTTGCGGTGCATTATCCAAATATAATAAAATGTTCCCTTTGCCATGGTCATTATATTTTAATTAGTAGACTATAATAAGTCACTAGAAGCATGGGCAATGATCAATCTATATGATATAATATTCATAGTGAGACAAATGTAACTGGATCCAACTAATTAAGTGATGCAGGCAGCTAATCTATTGTCCAGAACAGATCTACAATCTTTTAATCTTCTTATTTAACTATGCATAGTTTTTTTTCTTTCGTATTCATCTTGGGTTCAATATCGCACATTAAATTTACATCGAAAATTAAAGTTCCACATTAAAGAAGTAAAATGCTTCCTAACAAAGACGACTTAGTGTTTATAAGAACTCGTACCTGAAACCTTTGATTAAAAATAAAAAGTATTTAAAATCTACCACGAATTCGACATCAAAACATACACTTTTTGAACCTTAAACACTAAAAGAGGCCCTCTCTAAAAACAAACATCAAAATGGACAGTTTGCCCATATTCCTTAACCCCGTCATCTCCATTAACTCCTAATTCATCCAAAATAATACTACACCAACTTTCAAGGCACAATTCATTTTGTTTCTTCCTCACGTGAATTTATCTCTCTCTCTTTTCACGTGAACTATATCTCTTTCTTCCTCATGTGAACTATATCGATCTCATTCTTCCTCACGTAAATTTACATTTCTTTCTTTCTCACGTGATCTATATCTCTTTCTTCCTCAAGTGAATTATATCTTTTTCTTTTTCACGTGAATTTATCTCTTTGTTCTCAAGTGAATTTATCTCTCTTTCTTCCTCACCTGAACTATATATCTCTTTCTTCAATAATAAATATGAATTATTCACTCATAGTTATGTCTCAACAATGAGAGTATGTAAATTTAATTGAATCAAATATTTGTAAATGCGAAGAGTATTGTAAACTAAAAATATCAAAAACTCCAAGAAATCCTAATCATAAGTTTTGAGGTTGTGCGCGTTTAAGGTATAAAAAAAAAGTTGTTCACTTCAAAACATTTGGATATTCACTTGATTTCTTGTTTTGTTATTTCAGGATAATAATGGATACGATTATTTTTTGTGTAATATAAATTCACATGAGAAAAAAAGAGATATAAATTCATCTGAAAAAGAAATAAAAGGAATTATAGCTCATTTATTTGTGGGCGAACTACCTTTAAAGTTGATATAATATTATTTAGGATGAATTAAGAGTCAATGAAAATAACCGAGTTACAAGATATCAGTTATAGTTCACTTATAAATAAACAAACTGTACATTTTGATGTATATTTTTTAAAGAGAATTCTTTGTGATATTTAGAATTCAAAAAGTATTCGTTTTAATACCGAACTCTCACCACAATCATCATTGGTTATCATGCCTAGTTTAAGGTGCAAGGAGAACTTAACTTGAAATATAAGAAGGAAAAGAATAAAAAAATGGTAGGGTTTAAGATTGTTGCTGGAAGTGGAAGGGACAAAAGAGGAAGAAAAGCAGATTCCCATTTCACATGTAATGTTTAATTTTTAAAGTATGTATAGTTTGTCTTGGCTTGGATTTGGGGACCAACACAAAACTGACCCTCTTCATTTTCTCTAAACTTCTAATAGTACCACAACAAAGAGCTTCCTAACTAAATTATTACTTCTCCCGTTTACTTTTATTTGTTATATTACATTTTTAAAAGTTAATTTAATTAATTTTTTACATATTAATATAATAAAAAGTACATCTTAAAATGTTAGTCAAATTTCTTATAGTTTGACTCTAAAAATAGAAATCATGAAAAATAATAGTAAATAGAGGAAATAGTATTCTTGTTCTATATTAGATTCACACTTTCTATTTTATATGGTAATTAAAAAATTATTAAGAGCTTAATCGACTTTATTGTTTTGTCCGCTAAAATTAATTATCCTCCTGAAAAAAGAAATTCAAAGAAATTCTTAGATCTTTTTTAAATTTTGTTCAAACTTTCCAACGTCATATTAATTGTAGGAGTAAAACTAAAAAAAATAATCATAATTTCGTAAAAGGAAAAGGGTCTTATATATCCCTCAACTTTAATTTATTGTTTAGAATTGATATATTCCTCATTATGAAAGTAGCTCATACATGTATATATTGCAAATGACTCACATATTTTTTAATATTTTAATTACTATTATTTTTTAAAAAATATAATCCCATATGGATATATTTAATCCTCCTTACAAATAATTTTTTTTTGACTTTTTTTGTTTCAACGATTAATTTAAAATTATTATTTTGATGGTCAAATTTATTTATGTTTCATTAACTTTCTTGTAAACTTTAATATAGATGACCCAAATGTTTTTCAATACATTGAAGAAAATAGTTTTAAATTATAATATAGCCACAAAAAAGTAATTAGTTTTAAAATTTTCTCTTTACACTTAAGAACAAAAGAAAAAAAATAAGAATACGAAACTCAAAAAATGATAACCAAAGAAATAATATGTATAATAAAGATTAAAATATACCTTGAAATTAGTTAGAAGGATCACATATACTCTTACATGATATTTTTTAATAAAATAAAAAATAAAAAACATAGATTAAATTTTTTTTTTCACTTTGGTTAAACTAAGGGTATATATGAGCACATTTTATAACGGTAAGCGTATATGTGAGTCGTTTGTACAACGGTAAGGGTATATATAAGTCACTTTCATACGAAGGACATATCAGCTCCAGATGGCAAAGTTGAGGGGTATATCAAATTCTTTTTCCTTTAGTAAATGATCAAGTAATATGAAACAACCACTTTGAATAAGATGCTCGAAGTAAGTAAATAAAGTAATCATTGTTCTTTTTAAATTAATATCAATCTTAATTTGGTAACTTGAAACACCCAGTAATTAGTAAATAACTTGTTATAATATGTTAAACATAGTAATCATATCATTACAATAAAAATAACTTAGTTTGACAAAAAATAGACACATTAAGAAAGAGTGGGAAAGCTTTATCGACATTAGTTAAGTGTCATTAGATTCAACTTCGCTAAAGACTTTAAGGACATATATAAAGAGTACTAATTGCCACTAAAAATTTATATTTAGCGGCAATTGAGTTATTATCGTTAATTAACTGCCGCTAAAGATCTTTTTTGATGTAGTGTATACTTCCTCCGTCCAACAATACTCGTCCACTTTACTAAACATAGATATCCAACAATACTTATCCACTTTCTGGAATTCATGGACAATTTTACACTTAATTTTTAATGGTTGAACTCATTTGTAGCCCCCTAAATAGTTGACATCAATTTTCACTTATGCAACGACTTTGTTTATTTTACACACCTTATATTGAGTTCTGCTGTGTCATTTTGACACTTTTTGCTGACTTGACATATTGTGTGTGTTGCGCCCATTTTGAGCGCATGAGAGTTCTTTTTTTGAATATTTTTCCTTCTTCTTTTTTCACTTTTTAGCCTACCACTTATTC